CAAAAGTAAATAAAAATGCAGACATACACAAAACTTTGTAAAGATACTAATTGCAATCAAAGTGGAGACTTTATAAGCCGATGGTGATTTCTGGAGGAATTTGCCTTGACAGAACTCTATTTAAACCCAAGTAAATATTTATTCATCCTTATTTTATAACTGGAAACTCTTCTTCAGCTCATGATTAGTTGTTTATTTGCCTGTATAGACAAATAAAGCATGATGGCACGGTACACTGACTATGGGCATTTCATTGGAATTAATGAATTGGGAGTGTAGCACTTGAACACTGTCTCCACAATATTTTCCCTATAATAGGAGCCCACTCACATAGGCTGGTTCTTTCCAGGAAACATCCTGGGAATTTAAGAGGAAAATACAGACCTGTGAAATAAAGCCTGACCCAAACATTCAGGCACTGTAGTTTCTACTTAAAAACATAAACGCCAATACTAATATGTGTGTGATAAGCCAATATCAAACCATAATATCGGCCTACTGGTATGTCAGTCAGGCTCTAATGTTTACACGCAGCAAACATGTTATTGTTGGTTTTACTCAGTGGCTCGTTAAGGTAAATAAGAGCCTCTGACAGTTTGTCCTGAGTCACTCGTCAGGAACTCTGAGCTCATTGGAATTTCATTTTCCAGTATCCAGGAGACGTGTGGTGGCGTGCTTATGGCAACATCCTGACACGTTTTTTGGTGCAGCCCTATTATTTTGAAATCCACACTCGGAACAAAGACAGTTCCCCTGTGTTTGGGGGACGGGGGGCTGGGTAGCTCACAGTCAGCAGGAATTTCCTCACAAAAACAGTAATTTTCAAAAGGTTGGAACACTATGATATCGATGATACGTCACACTGTTCTTCATTTACCACTTCCTGAGCATGGCACTTTAATAAGACACACAAATATGCATTTTTGCCATTCATTTTCCAGCGCTGAAGCATGTTGAACTTCCCATGGCTTCTTTTGTTATTTCCTTGTTATGTAATCATTTGTAAATTTCTGCTCCTGTTTCCAGCAGGCAGGACGGACAGATTTCCCAACGATCTCGTCATTTGGCTTAATTGGACAATTTGTCCAAAACACTTTACACGCTTTAGTGTGCATGTGTTTGATTTCCTCTCCTCCACGTCTGGTTTCAGTTGGCAGCACTTACTTTGGAGGCACCTCAAGGTAAACAAAAGAAAGTCCTGACAAGGCAGAAGGAGCTGAAGGGCAGGTAGAGGTCGGCACACACGGTCTCGCCACTGAAAGCCCAGGGGATTTTTCTACCATTTGGATTGTATTTGTGTGAAAAGATAAAGTGTTCACATAGTGTAAAGAACAATGAAGACTTTCCAGCCAAGTCATGATATCACTGGCTAACATATCAGTAAATCAAAGCTAATAATGTGTGTGTGTGTGTGTTCAGGTGGTGGCTGTCCTAATGGTGAACTTACACACATGCTGTAGATCAAAGAGCAAATCAAAACACACACACTGACACAAAAATCCATATGGGATTTTCACGTTAAAAGACACAACCTTTGATCTAAATTTAAATAGTGACTTAACACAAGACTGAAAAGCAAAAGTTTTAAGCCCGTTTGAGCTCTGACCACACCCAGCATCATTGTTGGTTGTGGTCGGAAATGTTCTCTGTTGCATCTGTAACCACACC